ACTCACTCTAGCCTGGGCAACAAAGAGAGACTGTCTCAAAAAGAAAAAAAGAAGTTGGCTGTTTTGGTTTGTGACTTTTGGGGGAGGGGACTATAGCTGGTAGGGTGGTTGTAGGATACCTGTTTGTGCAGGGTTTGGTAGGAGCCCCTGCCTCCCTCTCTCCCAGATGATTTTGCCCCCGCAGGTCCCTGTGGCCTAGGCTGTGACACCACCTCCCTCAGCACATTTGTCCTGAGATGGGTCCTCTGGGGTTCTGCCTTGCCCTGGGCCGAGGGAGGAGGGAGCAGGAGGTGGCGCCATGGGGACTGTGCACCGAGTGGCTGTGCCAGCAGGGTGGGATGCAGAGGAGCACCTCGGTGTGTGGGTGTCCTTGCGGGGGGCCGCACTGTTGGTGGCTGTGGCGCACGGCTGGGTGTCGGCTGTTTGTGTTGGTGATCTGTGCGCACGCACGTGTGGAGGGAGCGACCTTTGTGCTCTGCTCACCCACTCACTGATCACTGATCACATAGGCGCATATTTCGGGCCGGGCGGCTCCAGGGAAGGCGGGGAGCGGGGAGTGGGGGGTGGCCAGCAGGGCTGAGCGGGCTCCGAATGGCACAGTGACGAGTCCACAGTCAGAGGTGGAGGTGGGAGATGGCTACTGTGCAGCTCACCCGGCCTCTGCCCCCAGAGCAGCTCGTGCTGGGTGCCTCGCAGGAGCCGGTGGGCCGCTGGGACCAGGACTATGACAGGGCTGTGCTGCCACTGCTGGACGCCCAGCAGCCCTGCTACCTGCTCTACCGCCTCGACTCACAGAATGCGCAGGGTTTCGAGTGGCTCTTCCTAGCCTGGTCGCCTGATAATTCCCCTGTGAGTCCTGGGGACCCCTGCCCTGGGGAGCCTTGGGGGGGGGGCACAGGCCTGCCCCAGGGAGGCTGAGGGCAGAGATATCAGGCCCTGTCCCAGAGAGTCTGAGAGAGGGACAGGGCCCTGTGCCTGGAGCCCAGATCCCTAGCGGTCTGGCAGCATCGGCCTGGCCCATGCTGGTGGGACCCTCCCCCTCCCCCCTGCGCGCCGCCGCTGTATCCTGCGCCCTCTGCTGCGCCCTCTTCTAGGGGTGCGGGCACAGTGGGAAGACCAGGTCCCCAGAGGCTCCTGCAGGTTCCCCGAGAGGCAGCCCTGCTCAGAGGGTCTCATGGTTTGGCCCTGCCTTCAGGTGCGGCTGAAGATGCTGTATGCGGCCACACGGGCCACAGTGAAAAAGGAGTTTGGGGGAGGCCACATCAAGGATGAGCTCTTCGGGACTGTGAAGGTAGCTGCAAGGCCAGGACTCCCTGGGCCATGGTTGTGGGCGCACAGAGGGTGGGGCATTGTGTGGGGTCACAGAGCCAGTGCTAGGCTCGGGGGTAAGATGGGGATGGCTGGGGAAGTCTGGGGTTGCAAGCTGGGGTGCTCAGTGGGCTTCCTCTAGTCATCCCAAGGCACCCCTTTGCGCCTCTGCGTCTGCCCCAGGACGACCTCTCCTTCGCTGGGTATCAGAAGCACGTGTCCTCCTGCGCAGCACCCGCCCCGCTGACCTCGGCGGAGAGAGAGCTTCAGCAGATCCGGATCAACGAGGTGGGTGTGCTGCGCAGGGTAGGTGGGAGTCCCAGCCAGAGGCCCTCAGCGTCACGCCAGGCCCTGCTGGCAGAGCCTGTGTGCCCTCATCGTGCCCCGCCCCCAGGTGAAGACAGAGCTCAGCGTGGAGAGCAAGCAGCAGACCCTGCAGGGCCTCGCCTTCCCCCTGCAGCCCGCGGCCCAGCGGGCACTCCAGCAGCTCAGGCAGAAGGTCGTCAACTACATCCAGCTGGTGGGTGCCCCTCCCCTGCCCTGGCATACACCCTGCACCTCACCCCTGCTGCCCTCAGCCTGCAGCCTGCCCACGTCACCTCGCCTGTACATTCACGGGAGCACACCGTCCACCCGACCCGTCCACATCCCCGCCTGTTCCGCCTGGTGCAGCCACGTGTACACGGAGACGTACCCTGCCCCCTCAGCCCTGGGCCCCTTCCAGTCTAGACCGCCTCTGCAGCCCCCTGGACCACCCCTTTCCTGGCAGTGGGCCAGCCTGCTCCCTTTCAACAGAATGGCTCCTCCCTTGCAAGGGGCTCACCCAGAGGCCCCAGAGTGTCTCCCTGAGGCCGAGACCCTGCTTGCTATCCCACCCCCTGCCCTCAGTGGCAGTGCCTTCTTCAGCAGGGCCTCCAAAGGGGCAGCATTGGGGCTGAGCCCAGGCATGGCCTCTTCAGAGGGACTGCCACAGATGGACGGCCATTGGGGAGAGTCCTGGAAGAAGGGGGTCACAAGCAGACTGCCAGCCAGTCCTACTTTGGAGGTTGTGTAGGGAGAGTGGGCCTGGACCCTCCCCAACCCGGTACCCTCCTTCTCCCCTCGCCCCTCGGCAGAAGCTGGACCTGGAGCGGGAGACCATAGAACTGGTGCACACAGAGTCCACCGACGTGGCCCAGCTGGCCTCACGGGTGCCCCGAGATACTCCCCGCTACCACTTCTTCCTCTACAAGCACACCCACGAGGGGGACCCCCTTGAGTCTGTGGGTGAGTGACCACAGCAGGGCTGCCAAGCTGTGGCTGGGAGGACAGGGCTGGGCTTCAGCCAGGTGGGCCTGCTCTGAGGGTGAAGGTCGGCAGGTGCCCCAGGCCCGCCCCAGCTCACCTCCCCTGCCTGCCCCCGACTGCCCGCAGTGTTCATCTACTCGATGCCCGGCTACAAGTGCAGCATCAAGGAGCGCATGCTCTACTCCAGCTGCAAGAGCCGTCTCCTTGACTCCGTGGAGCAGGACTTCCAGCTGGAGATCTCCAAGAAGGTGGGCGCCCATCCCCAGTGGCCCAGTCACCCCAACCACACATGTGGCATTGGAATCCTGAGACGATGGCAGAGCAGGAATCATTGCTGCTGTGTCGATCTTGGGGAATCTGAGGCCCAAGGGGAGACATGCCTTCCCAAGGCTGCCCGGCTGATTGGTGGCACAGACGAGCCAAAGCTCTGCCCACTGCATTTCCTCCTTCCCTGGGGGTGGCAAGGGGTGACTCAGGCAGGCAGAGTCCAAGGTTTTAATCCTGGGGGTGGCATTCCAGGTGGGGTCTCTTGGGGGAGAATCCAGGGCTGGGGTCTGAGAGATCAAGGGGTGCCCCAGGAGTGGGGGTTACCAAGGGTGGTGTGTGTTGGGGCCCCACCACTGGGGTGACGACTGCCTTGCCCCATGCAGATTGAGATTGGCGATGGGGCAGAGCTGACGGCCGAGTTCCTCTATGACGAGGTGCACCCCAAGCAACATGCCTTCAAGCAGGCCTTCGCCAAGCCCAAGGGCCCGGGGGGCAAGCGGGGCCACAAGCGCCTTATCCGTGGCCCTGGTGAGAATGGGGATGACAGCTAGGTGGCTGGACCTGAGCTGGGCTGGCGTCTGGACTGTGGGGCCACCCACACTGCTACTCCCTGCCATCTCCTTTCTTCCCAGCCTGGGCTCTAGGAAAATGCTTCCTGTGGGGCAGGGGGGATGGTGGCTGAACACACTTGCAGCTTTTGAGGGCCACCAGGCTGGTGTTTTGTGACCCTTCCATGTTGCTGTCCCTGCCTTTCATCTCTATGCCCAGGGTGTCTGGGGGCCCTGCCTCACTGGCTCAAGGGAGCTGCGTGGGGGCCCTGATATGAACTTGGCCTCCAGGGGCACTGAGACTAGGGTTCCAGCACTGCCCAGAAGTCTTTGGCCACAAGGGCTGGGTCACTGCAGGACAGGATGGTTGAATGCTGTATTTTCTAAAGAATAAAATATTTTTAAATCAAGACTGAGCCTGGCCTTGGGAGACCACCTCTGGCCCTGGGAATTGGGCAGCCCTGTGCATAAAACTGCCTTGTCCCAACTCAGGAGGGGCCTGTCGGCTTGGTAGGTAGAGCCCCCACACTCCTGGCTGCAGGTGTGTGGAAGAGGCTATGTCTGTGTGTGAGGGCACAGGCCTTGCCCAGGTGTCCTGGTGGACAGGGCCGTGCCTGGGAGCAGGTGTGCCTCCCTGTGTTGTGGAGATCTGGGTGCACTTGTTTCCTGTGGCTGCTGTAATCAATCACCACACACTTAGTGGCTTCAAAAAACCCATAAGTTTCTCTTACAGCTCGGAGGCCAGCAGTCTGAAATGAGTGCTACACGGCCAAAATCAAGGTGTTGGCAGGGCTGCTTCCTCTGGAGGCCTGGGGAGCATCCAGTCCCTTGCCCTTGCCAGCTTCGAGGGCTGCCTGCATGCCTGGCTTGTGGCCTCTTCTTCCATCTTCAGAGCCAGAGGCGCCTTCTCTGAGTCTGCTTCCGTGGTCACATGGCCCTCTTCTCTAGTTAAAGCTGTCTCCATTTTAGAAGAGACACAGGTGATTACATTCATCTTCCCGGCCCCCTGCAACCTACCACCTCGAAATCCATGACTTAATTATGTCTGCAGAGTCCCTTTCACCACGTCAGTCACGTGTTCACGGGCTCAGGGTTAGGACGTGGGTCTTCGCGTGGATTGTGCTGCCTCCCACCTGGATAGGGGCTCTTCTCACTAGGCTTCCCAGCCCCCACGGGGCAGAGGCCATGGTGGGTGTTTCTGTGGACATCCGTATCTGGGTGTCTCCAGGCCATGTGCGTCCAGACTTCTCTGTCAGCTCATCGGCCTCCCTCCAGCGCTGCTTTCCTGCCCCTGCGGGAGGCAGGGCAGCTGCTGGTCGTGGGGGATGTGGGGCTGATGACCACAGCTTAGGTGCTGAGTGGGCACTGCCCTCTCCCCTAGCTCAGGGCAGTGCCCCATCCCTGGGGCCTTTCTCAGCCCCTACTAGAGGCTGTAGGCTGCAGGGAGGAGAGCCGGGGCCCTGGCCAGGACCCAGAGGAGGCCTGTCCTTGCCCATCACTTCCCAGGGGGAGGAAGACTGCTATCGCCCGACGCTGCTGAGCCAGCTGCCTGCCGGGCCCCATGGAGCCTGCCCAGCGTGACACCGCCCAGAGGTGGGCCTGAGAGCAGCCAAGTGCCAGGTGTGCAGCCCTGCTCTTGCCCACAGCAGCCCCACTGCTTCGTTCATTCATTCAGCCTTCACTCAAGAGACTCCCTCTCTGTACCTGCCTAGGGCTGAGTGCTGGGGACCCATAGGTTCAGCAAGTATTAGGCACCTACTGTGTGCTGGGCACTGCTCTGAGACCTGGGGATACAGACAACAGATCCCTGCCCTCAAGAAGCTGGCATTCCAGCAGGAGAATAAGACAATCTGCAATGAACCATGAAAAACCAATGCTATGATCTGTTGGCAGTTGAAAAAATGTTACGACAGAAAAATGGAGCAGGCAAAAGGATTCAGGGGTGCCAGATCTGGGAGGGAAGTATATAAGATGGGGGATGTGGGGCTGATGACCACAGCTTAGGTGCTGAATGGGCACTGCCCTCTCCCCTGGCTCAGGGCAGTGTCCCATCCCTGGGGCCTTTCTCAGCCCCTACTAGAGGCCATAGGTTGCAGGGAGGAGAGCCGGGGCTCTCCTCCCTGCACCATCGAGGGAAGGCACCATTGGGAGGGTGACGTGGGGGCAGAGACTCGAAGGTGAGAGTCTGGGAAAAGAGCTCCCAGGCAGAGGGAACAGCATGCCCCAAGCCCCTGAGGCGGGGGAGTGCCCGGGGTGCTCAGCAGCAGTGCAGGCAGATGGGGACAGCTCAGGGAGGCAGGTCCCATAGGACCTTGCTGGCCATTATGTGGACTGTGGCTTTGACTTCAGAGACCTCTGAGCAAAGGAGGCATGAAGGCCTCTGAGCAAAGGAGGGACCCAGTGTGACTTAGGCTTGAACAGGACCCTGCAGGGGCCGATCTGAGTAGGCTGAGGGTGGGGAGCAGGACAGGGCAGCCAGGAGGAGGCGGCGCCTGCACAGGTCCAGGCCCATAGATGGCAGCTCAACCCGCTGGTGGACGTGTAGGTGGTGGGCGGGGGGCAGATTCTGCAGGTGGAGGCAGCAGGACCTGCTGAGGCATGGGGGGCACCTTGGGGCTGTGGGCCTGAGGATGCTGAGTTCCAATCACCCAGGGCAGAAGGGGCGTGAGAAGAGCCACTGAGGAGGATGAGTGAGGTCCCAGCTGGGCTGGTGTGCCCGCTTCCAGGAGCCCTAGAAATGCAGAAGAGGAGGTCCTATTCCTGGAAGAGGTTGCAAGGCTGTGGTGAAGGCAGGTGCAGCCCGCAGCCTCCGCTCAATCTGTCCCCTGCCCCTGCATACTGGGGATGGCACTGCAGGGGCAGGAAAGGACAGGCGGGGGAGCCACTGTCCAGAAAGTGCTGGCCATGGGCAGGGGCTGAGGCATGAAGGTGAAGAGTCTTCTTGGGACAGGGAGGGCTTGGCAGGCATGTCCCAGTCTCTCACTGCCCTTAGGCTGGGCTCTGGGCCTTAGTTCCTCCCCAGACTTCCCAGAGGACAGGTGTGAGGCCGGGCACGGTGCAGGCTGTCTGGGAGGGGAGTGGAAAGAGGAAGGGGTGAAGGGACTGTCTGCCATCTGACTATGCAAATGGCCTCTGACTCATGGGACCCTGGCCCCCTCACCATAGGGAGGACGGAGTTGGGGGGGAGTTACTAGGCTGCTTTAAAATTCTCACTTCCTCTAATCTCTGAGCTGCTCCTGCCCCTGAGGGAAGGGACCCAGAGTGCTCTGAGTGGGAAGCATCCTTCCCTGCTGCTGCTGCTGCTGCTCAGCCCGCCAGCTGGACCCTCTGGAGAAGACCCTACTCCCCATCATGGTAGGACAGTAGCTCTCAGCCGCTGGGGAAAGGGGTGGCCTGGGAAGGGACAGGCAGAGAGGTGGGCTTGGCAGCTTCCGGCAACAGTGAATAGGACTGTCACCCACATGGCCCCGGGGACACTCAGTGAAGCCTGAAGACATCAGAGCAGAAGCTCTTCTCTAAGCAGCGAGACCAAAGCTGCTGGGGCCATGAGGAGGCTGAGGCCAGGGGCTTTAGGCAGTGGCAGGGCTGGGGCTACGTGTCCAGGTACACGTACCAGGGGCTGGCCCCCGATCTATTGCTAAGCACAGCAGGGTCAAGGGTCTCTGGCTGGGTGAGGCAGGCGGAGGGTGAGAGAGCTGTGCAGTGGGAGGGGCCGGGGGAGGCTGGCAGAGGGCAGAGAGGGCATTTGGGAGTGGCTGGAGGGGAGGGAGCCAGCTGCCACCTTGCTCAGAAGGAAGGAGAACTGGCCTCTGAGGAGAGGAGGCCAGGGCCTGTTGGCCACCTTGCCTGGCCCTCCTGTCCAGCTGGGTTTGGTTATGAGAGAAAGCTCCAAATCGTGAGCTGGATTCCAGGCCTCAGTCCCAGGTCTGTGTCCAGGCAAAGGCTGGGTCTGAGGCCGAGCTCAGCTTCCCCAGGAGACTTGGAGGGGGAAGGGGCTCAGCAGCCAAGCAGGAAGCTCCGTGGGGCGGGCTTGGAGAAAGGGGCAGAAGCCCTGCTGAAAGACCGCCACGAAGTGGAGTGGGTGGAGGTGGAGCTGGGGGCTGGACACTCACACAGCCCCACCCCCACCCCACAGGGTTCCTGCCACGGTGCCCTGCACCCCCTGTTTCTGCTGGTGCAGGCTGAGGCACTGGCCGTGGCTCTGGCGCTGGGCACCCTGCCTGCCTTCCTGCCCTGTGAGCTCCAGCCCCACGGCCAGGTGAACTGCAACTGGCTGTTCCTGAAGTCTGTGCCCCACTTCTCCGCGGCAGCACCCCGTGGCAACGTCACCAGCCTTTCCTTGTCCTCCAACCGCATCCACCACCTGCGTGACTCTGACTTTGCCCACCTGCCCAGCCTGCAGCGACTCAATCTCAAGTGGAACTGCCCGCCGGTCGGCCTCAGCCCCATGCACTTCCCCTGCCACATGACCATCGAGCCCCACACCTTCCTGGCTGTGCCCACCCTGGAGGAGCTGAACTTGAGCTATAACAGCATCAGCTCTGTGCCCGCCCTGCCCAAATCCCTTGTGTCCCTGTCCCTGAGCCGCACCAACATCCTGGTGCTGGACGTTACCAGCCTCTCGGGCCTTCACGCCCTACGCTCCCTATACATGGATGGCAACTGCTATTACAAGAACCCCTGCGGGCAGGCACTGAACGTGACCCCAGGCGCCCTCCTTGGCCTGCGCAACCTCACTCACCTGTCACTCAAGTACAACAACCTCACAGAGGTACCCCGGAACCTGCCCCCCAGCCTTGAGTATCTGCTGTTGTCCTACAACCACATTGTCAAATTGGTGCCGGGGGACTTGGCCAATTTAACTGCCCTGCGCGTGCTTGATGTGGGCGGAAATTGCCGCCGATGTGACCATGCCCGCAATCCCTGCATGGAGTGTCCACGTCACTTCCTCCAGCTACATCCTGACACTTTTAGCCACCTCAGCCATCTTGAAGGCCTGGTGTTGAAGGATAGTTCTCTCTCCAGGCTTGACACCAGATGGTTCCATGGTCTGCACAACCTCACAGTGCTGGACCTGAGTGAGAACTTCCTCTATGACTGCATCACCAAGACCAAGGCCTTCCAGGGCCTGGCACAGCTGCGCAAGCTCAACCTGTCCTTCAATTACCAAAAGAGGGTGTCCTTTGCCCACCTGCACCTGGCATCCTCCTTCGGGAGCCTGATCTCACTGCAGGAGCTGGACATGCATGGCATCTTCTTCCGCTCGCTCGATGAGACCACGCTCCGGCCGCTGGCTCAGCTGCCCATGCTCCAGATTCTGCATCTGCAGATGAACTTCATCAACCAGGCCAACCTCAGCATCTTCGGGGCCTTCCCTGGCCTGCGCTATGTGGATCTGTCCGACAACCGCATTAGTGGAGCTGCACAGCTGGCGGCCACCATGGGGGAGGCAGATGGCGAGGAGAAGGTCTGGCTGCAGCCTGAAGACCTTGCTTCAGCCCCACTGGACATCCTCAGCTCTGAGGACTTCATGCCCAACTGCAGGGCCTTCGACTTCACCTTGGACCTCTCACGGAACAACCTGGTGACGGTGCAGCCAGAGATGTTTGCCCAGCTCTCTCGCCTCCAGTGCCTGTGCCTGAGCCACAACAGCATTTCACAGGCGGTCAACGGCTCTCAGTTCCTGCCACTGACCAGGCTGCGGGTGCTAGACCTGTCTCATAATAAGCTGGACCTGTACCACGGGCGCTCGTTCACAGAGCTGCCGCGCCTGGAGGCCCTGGACCTCAGCTATAACAGCCAGCCCTTCAGCATGCAGGGCGTGGGCCACAACCTCAGCTTTGTGGCCCAGCTGCCCACCCTGCGCTACCTCAGCCTGGCACACAACGACATCCACAGCCGTGTGTCCCAGCAGCTCCGCAGCACCTCCCTGCGGGCCCTGGACTTCAGCGGCAATGCCCTGAGCCGCATGTGGGCCGAGGGAGACCTCTACCTCCACTTCTTCCAAGGCCTGAGAGGCCTGGTCTGGCTGGACTTATCCCAGAATCGCCTGCATACCCTCTTGTCCCGCAACCTGTACAACCTCCCTAAGAGTCTGCGGCTGCTGCGTCTCCGTAACAATCACCTGGCTTTCTTCAAGTGGAGCAGCCTCACCCTCCTGCCCAACCTGGAAGTCCTGGACCTGGCGGGAAACCAGCTGAAGGCCCTGACCAACGGCACCCTGCCTGCTGGCAGCAGGCTGCGGAGGCTGGACCTCAGCAGCAACAGCATCAGCTTTGTGGCCACCAGCTTCTTTGCCCTGGCCGTGGAGCTGCGAGAGCTCAACCTCAGCGCCAACGCCCTCAAGACGGTGGAAGCCTCCTGGTTTGGACCCTCGGCAAGTTCCCTGAACATGCTGGATGTGAGTGCCAACCCTCTGCACTGCGCCTGCGGGGCAGCCTTCGTGGACTTCCTGCTGGAGGTGCAGGCGGCCGTGCCTGGGCTGCCCAGCCGGGTACAGTGTGGCAGTCCGGGCCAGCTCCAGGGCCGCAGCATCTTCGCACAGGACCTGCGCCTCTGCCTGGACGAGACCCTCTCCTGGGACTGTTTTGGCCTCTCACTGCTGGCTGTGGCTCTGGGCCTGGCTGTGCCCATGCTGCACCACCTCTGCGGCTGGGACCTCTGGTACTGCTTCCACCTGGGCCGGGCCTGGCTTCCCCGGTGGGGACGGTGGGGTGAGGACACCCTGCCCTATGATGCCTTCGTGGTCTTCGACAAGGCGCAGAGCGCCGTGGCCGACTGGGTGTACAACGAGCTGCGGGGTCGGCTGGAGGAGCGCCGTGGGCGCCAGGCACTCCGCCTGTGCCTGGAGGAGCGCGACTGGGTGCCGGGCAATACGCTCTTTGAGAACCTGTGGGCCTCCGTCTATGGCAGCCACAAGACGCTGTTTGTGCTGGCCCACACGGACCGGGTCAGTGGCCTCTTGCGCGCCAGCTTCCTGCTGGCCCAGCAGCGCCTGCTGGAGGACCGCAAGGATGTCGTGGTGCTGGTGATCCTGAGCCCTGACGCTGGCCGCTCCCGCTATGTGCGCCTGCGCCGGCGCCTTTGCCGCCAGAGTGTCCTCCTTTGGCCCCACCAGCCCAGTGGTCAGGGCAGCTTCTGGGCCCAGCTTGCCATAGCCCTGACCAGGGACAACCGCCACTTTTATAACCGGAACTTCTGCCGCGGACCCACAGCCGAATAGTCCTGAGGCACAGTGCTGCCCAGCCCCTTCCACGCTCGCCCTCCCGCCTGCTCTGCAGCCCACAGCTGTGCCCGTGCCCCCACTGGTGACCCCCAGCCCAACCTGGAATAGAGCAGGTACTCAACAAGGCCAGGCGAGGTGGCTCTCGCCTGTAATCCTAGCACTCTGGGAGGCTGAGGAGGGAGGATCACTCGAGGTCAGGAGTTCGAGACCAGCCTGAGCAAGAACGAGACCCTATCTCTACTAAAAATAGAAAGAAATTAGCTGGACAACCAAAAATATATAGAAAATATTAGCCGGGCATGGTGGTGCATGCCTTTAGTCCTGGCTACTGGGGAGGCTGCGGCAGGAGGATCACTTGAGCCCAAGAGTCTGAGGTTGCTATAAGCTAGGCTGACGCCAGGGCACTCTAGCTTGGGCAACAGAGTGAGACTGTGTCTCAAAAACAGTAAAAAATAAAACAATAAATAAATGCCACTGGAGGCCAGATGACTAACCGTGTGCTCACTGGAGGTATGGCTGGGAGGAAGGAAAGGAGAATTCTCCAGGCCTCCATAAGTGAAAAGGGACAAGAGATGGTTAGGGGAAAATTGTCATAGACTGGACAAAGGTCTGCAGGGGAGAGAAGCTGCTGAGGGCAGTTTTGTTCATGGGCATCTTTTCAGGGAGGTCTAATGATGGACACCGGATGTGGTCTCGGCCCTTCCTGGAGAGCAGGGGCAGGTCTCTTGAACGTCCCGCCCTGCCCTTCCCAAGCAGAGCCAGGCAGCCGCTGCCAGGCCTGGTCAGCACTCCTCTGTTGTGTATTGCTCTCAGGAATTTACTCCTTTCACCTACTGGACTGAAAATGCCTTGAGGGCAGAGAACCTTCTGCCTGGTTTGTTTCTGGCCTCCAGCAAAGTCCCAAGAGGCGGCAGCTCAGGGCAATATTCATTCTAAAATAAGGAACACATGGATTTGTGGCACGTTTGGAGGAGTGATTGCGTCCTCTAGTGGCCATGTCTGTGCTTGGCAAAGAAGGCCGCTTCCCACTGGGGAGAGGAAGGCCTGTGGGTGCATCCCTGCAGCAGGGAGCTGGGAGCCACAGAAGATTCTAGGCTGAGCTCATAATCCATCCCTTTCTTTTCCACCTAGAGTCACATGCTGGGTCTCTCTGTTCTGATATTGAAGGGATACCTAGGTGAGCTGCCACCTGGCTGCAAAGGTGAGAGCCCCCTTCCCTGCTCTTGCCTCTCAGAGCTGCCTGCACTCAGTGTGGAGATCCAGCCACATCTGATGAGGACTGAGTGTGTTTGTGCGCCTCTGTTTTTGATATACAGTGTGTATTTATGGACACAGCTAGAAGCCCTGATGAGAAGAGATCAATGTTTGGAGAGGTCAGGGTCTGTACCAATAAATACAATGGAGCCATGAGTAGTGTCAGGCTTGGGGCCCTTGAGGGGCCCTGTCCTGGGTGGGCTGCCTACGCTATCACAGCAACCACACGTGGCCTTTGAGGGGCAAGGGAGAAAGGCAGTCCAAACACAGCTGACAGAGCTTGGCCTGGGGCGGGCTGCAGGAGAGTTGAACCGGTCTGACTGGCCCAGGCCAGTTTGGGGTCTGCTCTGCCACTCAGGGCCCCTAGAGGGGAGGGTTGGAGCTGGCGGCAGACAGCTAATTTTGTAGCCTGATTGTGGGCTTCTGTGGTGGGCTGGCGTTCCCTGTTCTCTGCTCATCTGAAAGACAGAAGGAGGGTCTCTAACCTACCTATCGAAGCCCCATGTGGGCTCTGACCTGACCTGTCATACTGCCTTGGCTGATGCCCGGAAGAAAAGGAAACAAGGTGAGTCCTTTCTCCTAGTCTGGAGTCTGGGGGAGTAACCTGTTGAGTGGCTCTAACACTATTCTGGACACAACCAGCAGCAGAAGCAGGAAGCAGGAAGCAGGAAGCAGGGCCTTATCCAGGGAACCATGTTTTGCATGTAGGAAGCACAACTTACCTCCTTCTCAGGATAGCCAAGTTTGCCTCTGGCAGTCCCAGGTGGGACTTCCATCTAGCCACCCACACACCACAGTCCTGGTGCTTTCGGGGCTGGGGATTCAGAAGAACGTTTTGCAGATGAAGCGTGGGGGCTGCAGCTATGCCAGGACTGTTGGGCTTGGCTTGAGTGAATCTGGGGTCCATGGCACTTGCCTCTGTGCTGTGTGTGGGACCAGAGGACAGAGCTCTCCTATCTCAAGTCCTGAAGAGGCGGTCAGAGCTGGGCCTCTCTGAGGCTGGGTGAGGGCAGCTCCCACTGCACTGTAGTCAGGCAGGGTACACACGGCGGGCCCCAGGCCCTCTCCTCCGTACTGCCAGCCATCCTCGCCCATTAACACTGCCTTGGCTCTGCAAGACCAGGAAAGAGATAGGACTCAGGTCAGATTGCCTGGGCCTGCATCCCATTTGGGTTGTCCTGGGCAGTTGGCCTTCCCTTTAGGAGATGAGGTTTGCTCATCTGTAAATGGGAATGGCCAGAGCTGCTCTGCAGGGTGGTGTAAGGATTAGTGGTTATATGTACAAAGGTCTGAGAAACCTAGCAGGGCCTCAGTTGTAATTATTAGGTAATGGGATTTATACTCATGACTATCAGCTGATATGGCTTCAGTGTTTTCTCTCCTCCTAGGGAATGCTCCTCTTGGGACAGAGCACTGATGGGGTTCAGATGTGTTGAATCAAAGGCCCATGAAGCTGGGGACAGCAGCTCTCCCTGGGAGCAGGACCAGGACTCCTGGGAAAGGTCCCAGATCTGATGTGGCCCCCTCGTCTTGGGAAGCAGTGGGTATGGAGAGAATACTGAGGAAAACCTGATAGGAGGAAAGCCTCAATGTAGGAAAGTCCATCTACTAGGATTTCAAAATACAACTCACCCTTTTCCCTCTAGGACACTTTATTTAATGCCCTAGGCTTCCAAGTATTCTTTTTTGGGGTAGGAATTAACACACCCTTTTAATTAGTTTTAAATATTTTTGAGGTTTAAAAAATGTCTAGGCTGGGCACGGTGGCTCACACCTGTAATCCTAGCACTCTGGGAGGCTGAGGTGGGCGGATTGCTCGAGGTCAGGAGTTCAAAACCAGCCTGAGCAAGAGTGAAACCCCGTCTCTACTATAAATAGAAAGAAATTAATTGGCCAACTATATAAAGAGAGAAAAAATTAGCCTGGCATGGTGGCACATGCCTGTAGTCCCAGCTACTTGGGAGGCTGAGGCAGTAGGATTGCTTGAACCCAGGAGATTGAGGTTGCTGTGAGCTAGGCTGATGCCACGGCACTCACTCTAGCCTGGGCAACAAAGTGAGACTCTGATTCAAAAAAATAAAAAAAGGCTAAAGATTGTAATTTCTAGTTGGAAAACATTATCTGAATGAATACCCTACGGGCAAACCACTGCAAAATGCTTCAGCTGCATGTGGGGCAGAGGGGGAGGGATTTTCTTCAAAGCATCCAGCTCTTTATGAGGGCAGAGGTGCACTGGTTTGTGTCATTGCGACATCCATTAGGTGACATAGGTTGTGTTTCCTTCAGCATGGGCTTTATTTGTTGGAAGGGCATCACGCTTGACCTCCAAATTTGGCTGACAATTACTAACGAGATTCATAACCTTTGGGTTGCTCTGGCATTTTGACATATTTGCCAGGTTCTAGGCCACATTCTGGAAGGCCACCATAACGTCTGGATCCTGCATGGCTGCAAGAACCTCTGGATCACTAAGAATTTCATTGAGTCCTGGCATTCCTGCCATTCCGGGCATGCCTCCTCCCATTCCAGGCATTCCCCCAAGAGAGCCACCCGGAAAAGAGCCATACTTAGCTCCTGATTGTCCTCTGGCTTCTTCCTACCCCTGGGCTTCTCTCAAGCTCTTTTCCAGCCTTCTTAATCCTTTCTATTCTTTCTTTGATCTCTTGCTCTTCGCATTTTCGCTCATACTTTCTCCGATGTTTTGCAATTTTCTGGGCCCTAAATTGAACTTCTTTCAGCATTACACTAGCATCTTCATCATAATCCAGTTTACAGGTAAGGGCAAGATCATGGGCTGCTTCTTCCCCATGACCAGAAGTCTGTGTGTTTCCCTCTCCACTCTAAGGCTGAGCTGAATCTGGATTTGTTTCAATGGCTCTATCACAATCTCAGAGGGCAGCATTTGGCTTCTGTAATTGGATGAAGACACCAGCTGTCTTGGTGTACAAAATAGCCAACCATTCAGCATGGTGGCATCTGTGAATAGTCAATGGCCTTCTGTAGTTCACCACCAGTTAGGGCCGCAGTGGCAGCCACTTTTTTATCATTTGCTTGACCTGTCATCTCCTCAGTTCTCTCTACATTTTTATCTCCCATTTCTTGAGGGGCATCAAGGGTCTGGTTCGGTCACACCTTCATTATCAATTTCTAGATCACTTTCCTCACTTGATGGTTCCTCTGTCTGTGTTTTCCTCCACCTCATTACTGTTTTTTCTTCCTTAATATTTTCTTCTGATTTAGCTCTCTGAGTAGCAGTTGCTACTTTACCCACCATGCTCTCCACCCACTTCCTCGGGAAGCTCATTTCCTTGGGGTGCAGAATGCTCGGATCCTGCTTACACATTTTCACCAAGGCCCGAAGCTCGCTCACTGTGCGGGGGTCCACAGTCAGGAGGTGGAGGATGGGGCTGAGGAGGCTGCAGCCCGATTCCAGGCCTGGGCGCTAGCTCAGCGTGTTCGTGTAGAAGGGGCGGCTTCTAAATATTCTTAGAGAGGTTTCATGACTTCGCACAGTTTCACACTGGAGTTGCTTAAATAAGCCAAACCTCTCATTTTGAAGCAGTTCACACATCTCAGCTACTTCCTGCAGATCATTCCATGCTTTGTTCTTCTAACCCAAGAATCAGGGAGGGGAAGTGCACCTAAGGGCTTTGTTGGCCCTGCTGGCCTTGAGTCTTATGAAGAAAGAGTGGGTCTTCCTAAGTATTCAAATGGAAACATTGCCCTAGCTAGAGGAGAACAATGCCTTTGAAGGGAAGGGGGTGGAGGGAGTCACAGGCATGGGAATGTGAGGGACAATAGAAAGCCCTGAAAGATTCTGTGAAGCCACAGAGCTGGGAATGCCGAGCTTGTTTCTGGAGCAGGAAGGAACCGAATCATGGTTCTGAGGTGACGTGACTTCCATCATGTCCTGCCTAAATATCTGATTTTATCTGATGGGCCCATGATAAGGTTGTGTACCCCAGGAAAGGTTGTGGCCCACGGCCAGCATGCCAGCACAACTCTGAGAGGAGAAAGCACAGCTGCCCTTTCTAGAGCTACAAGACAGAGGGCAAGGCCAAGAGAATCTCCTGATCTCTAGTTGCTTGGTTTGTCTTCAGCTTAGCTATTTTTTCCAGTAAACTAGACTTGTCGTCATTGGGGCTTTTTTTCATTCCACACACATTTGCTCAGCACTTACTGTGTATCAGGTACTGTACTGTACTTCGAGGATACAGAAGTGAGAAGATGGGGTACCTATTTTCATGGAGATGACATTACAACAGGGCAAATGATCAACATGGCAAGAAGTCACTGTGGGTGGTGACCAGAGCTTTGAAGGGCTTTATGGCAGTGGCCAAGCAATGGTGAGAATGCAAGAGGGTCTGCTTTAGCTGGCGTGCTCAGTGGCGGTCTCCTTAGGGACCTTGTCCTGAGTGAAGAGAGGCAACTATACCATGATCCAGGGTAGAAAAATTCAAGCAGAGAAAGTGGCTAACACCACCTGGAGGCTGGAGAGAACCTAGGTATTTGAGACCCAGAAGTGGGCCCAGTACATGAAAGAGTGAACAAATGATGGGGGACGGGAGACAATGCTAGAGAACTGGATGGGAGCCCAATCCCAACTCTGCCAGCCTGTGGGGAATTTAGAAGTTAATCCATGTGTGACTGGAAGCCCAAGAATGTTTTCTACATGGAAGGGACATGATCTGATCTATATTTTTGAAAGATCTTTCAGGATATTGCTGGGGTGGAGGCTGGGGCACATGCCAGATGGTGGCATGAACAGGGTGGCAGTAGTGGAGGGGATGAGACATGGCCTTGCCTGAGGTCATTGCAGAGGTGGAACTGACAGGACTTGCTAGTAGTGTGCTGGTGAGGGAAAGACAGAGCTGACTTCCAAACGAGAGGCTGAGCACCTGGGCAGATGATGGCGAGACCAGGGGAAGAGCAGGAGAGATGGGCAGACCCAGTGTGCCCTCTGCACATTACCGTCAGAGGTGCATATTACCATCAGAGGTGCTTGTGTGACACCCAGGCAGACACAGCAGCCAGCAGTGCATAGAGGCAGCCAAAAGCCCAAGACAAAGAGAGATCACATGGGGTGGGTGTGTTGAGTGCAGTTAAAAGATGAGCTGGTAGGGCCATCAACATCACAGGAGAACCCAGCCAAAGGGATGGAGAAGGACCAGCACATGCAGTAGGAGAAACAAGCAGCAGAGGTTAGTGGTACAGAAGCTCAGAGGAGAAAGCGAAAAGGCCAAGGACAGCCACCTCAAATGCCACTGAGAGATCCAATGGAAGGAAGAACTGACCACTGAATTTGGCAAGATAGAGGCAGTTGTGGTAAGAAAAAAGTGGTCTCCCTGGGAACAGGGATGAAAGAGTGAATTGGGGAGGTTATGCAGAAGAGAGAAGCGGGGGCAGCGAGAAAGGGGTCTACGTGGTCTCTGAGGGAGAGTTTGTTTTTAAGACAGGTGACAAAGCCTGCCGCACACCAATGGGAATGAGCCCGCAGAGTGGGGAAATATAGATTCATGCAGCAAAGGAAAGAGACAGCTGCAAGACAAGGAGAGGACAATGTGCAATAGGACACAGAACACAAGTGGAGAGTCGGGGTGAGGAGCACAAACCCCTCTGCTTTCACTGTGGGGGACACGACTACAGGTGCAGAAAGCCACGGGCTAGGGAAGTGGCTGGTAACAGACAAGTCAGTCCCGTCGTGATGACTCGACTTTCACAGGGAAGTATGAGGTCAAGGAGGTAGCTGGAAGGGAAGCAGCTACAGCAGGGCAGCTGAGCAGCACTGACTACACATTGAAGATGTAAGGTGAGAAGTTGAAAGTGAAACCAGCTGCCATGGTGGTGTCACTTCTTTTAAAACCATTCAGTTGCTGGGGTGCGGCTAGGTCAGCCACTGGATGTGGTAGGCATTAAAGAGGGAGTTGGACTCAAGCAGAGTGGGAGGTTCTGCCACTCCAGCAGGGTCTGAAGCTACTACCAGAGGACCAGTATTTTTTGATAGTTAATACATCTGTCATAAAATGCTGATGAACAATTATTTTTTGATTCAGAGCCAAGAGCAGAAAGACCCATCACTTAAGAATTTATTTCAGGACTATGTTTTTACTATAGATTAAAATTTAATATAATTTATTTCACATATAAAGACAACTCTGGAGACTATCTAGATATGATAACTGCCTGCGATTAGGTAAACTGAGGTTACACTCAGGCCTGAGCAGATACCAACTTGCTTAAGCCTGAGAAATAGGATTTCTCTCTTTCACTCATCACTTCAAAATGCAGCGGCCTCCTGCAGAAGTTGCACTCAGCTGAGGAATGTGGCTTCAGTTCCAGCCCCACTCGCTTCCATGTGACCAGCAGATTCTCTGAAGAGAAAGTTTTTAAATATTAAAGGGAGTAAATACCCAAGAAAGATGAAAACATGTCCACACAAAACCTTGTACACAAATGTTCACAGCAGCATTATTCATAATAGTTAAAAAGTGAAACAACCCAAATCTCCACCAATTGAGGGATAAACAAAATGTGGTCAATGTGTATACTAGAGGATGTGATGGAAAGAAGTGCAGTGCTGATTAACGCACAGCATGGATGGACCTTGAAAACGTTATGCTGTCAAGAAGCCAGGAACAAAGGACCGCATGTGGTATGATTCTACTTCTACATAACATGCAGAAGAGGCAAATCCAGAGACAAGAAAATCAGTGGTTGATGGGGGCTGGAGAAGGAGGAAAACTGGAGTGACTGCTAATGAGTATGGGGTTTATCTCTGGCATGATGAGAATGTTCTGGAATCACAGAGGTGATGGTTATAAACATTGTGATTGTACTTAAAAACCACTCAACTGTATACTTTAAAAGGACAAATTTCATGGTATGAGAATTATATCTAAATAAGGCTGTTATAAAAACCAAGAGAAAAACAATACTTGGAGTTGGGCTTTATTTCACAGGCCTTCGGGGAAGAAGTTGCTCCAACATTGCCTTAATACGTTTGGTTTAAAGTGAGCATGTCTACCAGAACGCAAAGCCTGGGGAAGCGGAGCAGCCGGGAGAGCTCAGGAGGGCAATGTGCCTTTGGCAGAGGCAGGCTGTGACTAACAGCCCTGCTCAGTTTCTCCTTTGGCTGGACGCTGGGGTGGGGCCAGTATAAAATGTTGAGCAATTGCTCTTGTCAGAGGGGTTAGTTCCTGGGTCACATGTCCCGGCATAGACAGCAGTGCAGAGGACAAACGTGAGCTGCACCTGCAGGGCCAGCAGAGACCTCTCTTCCCTTGCAACGTTCGTTACCACGATCCGTAAGGCACACCAACAAGGGGGATGGAAACCCTGGGCGGAATGAATACCAGGCTCCCTGAAAGCTTCCAGAATGACTCTGCACCCTCTTGAAGTGAATCAAACAACTGAATGTCTTTTAGGCTTTTGAACCATTAGAGAACATTCTTAATTACATGGAAAAAGAAACATCTGAATGCCTCTGAAGGACTTCAATTATAAATACTGCCAAGACAGCTCCTGAAACTCTCCAATGAGGCACCAGCAGCGCTCCAGGCACTCACCAAGGAAGTAGTTCATCATCTGTGGCGTATGGTGAGGGGTGGGGGCGATCCGCAGGAGCTCTTCCCCACGGGGCACCGTAGGGTAATTGATTGCTTGGACATAGATGTTATGTCTGCTCATTAGTTCATCACAGACTTCTGTGTTTTTAGCAGCATCTGCAACCTAAGTTTGATGAAAGCAAGAAGGTAAAGTTGCAACAGGATGGACTACTTCTCAGCAGAGATGCTAATGAACAGTGTCCACAAGGCTCAGGCTCAAGATCAGACTGTAGCAACATACGCAAGCTCGGGGGAGAAGGAAAATGGTGCCAAACACCTGTAATGTAGAGGTGTTCAGTGAGCACCAGAGAACAAAAACCATATTAGAAAGAAGGAAACTTCACATTGCTCTCCTCCCATGCCTCACCTGGGGAAAAGAGTGGTTCTATTCACACCAGCTGGCCCTCACACCCAGGATGTATGACCCAACTTCAGTTCTAATAGCTCTATTCATTATACTAATTCAGCTGTGACACCAATAAGGCTACAATTTGTAGTGGGAAGGGCATGACTTATTTAAAAATTTATAAAGTAGAATGCCGTATGTCAAAGCCGCTCAAGCTCTGGCTTCTGGAACTTTCTAGATACAATCTCTGTGTTTATTCTGTTAAGGTCAGTGCTCTGGAGAGAACACCTCTGCTCCAGCCTGCTGGGTTCAAAGTCTATTCTCATTGTGAAATCAGCCAAAGGCAGAAACACGGCAGAGGGCTGCTGGCTATAGCCTCTGCCCTAACAGTCACCCCGCCCAAGCTCCACTTCAGGAAGGTATGAACCAGAATATCAGTACATCAGGTGTGGAGGCATAGTCCCCAGCAAGTCCAAGCAAAGACAGGCCATTACCCGCACAGGGATGATGTGACTAGGGCAGTGGACGACCGGAAGGCCAGCATCCATTAGCATCTGCCTCATGAGCTTGACGTTGCGCTGGTGCTGGCGGCGAAGTGCCCGCCCCTCGGCGCTCTTCAGGATGCGTACAGACTCCAAGGCTCCAGCTAGCAGCATGGGTGGCAGAGAGGTGGTAAAGATGAAGCCAGCCGCATAGGACCGTACAGTGTCGATCAGAGAACTTGTACTGGCAATGTATCCTCCAACACAGCCAAAGGCTTTGCCTGAGAGGAGACAGCTTCATTTATTATAGCAACAACCTCTAAATGTACACGGCAAGGTGCTGTAGAGCATCAAACCATTTACTTTGCTTATCATCTTCTTTTTTTTTTTTTGAGACAGAGTCTCACTCTGTTGCCCTAGCTAGAGTGCTGTGGCGTCAGCCTAGCTCACAGCAACCTCAAACTCCTGGGCTCAAGCGATCCTCCTGCCTCAGCCTCCGGAGTAGCTGGGACTACAGGCATGTGCCACCATGCCCGGCTAATTTTTTCTATATATTTTTAGCTGTCCAAGTAATTTCTTTCCATTTTTAGTAGAGACGGGGTCTCGCTATTGCTCAGGCTTGTCTTGAACTCCTGAGCTCAAATGATCCACCTGCCTCTGCCTTCTAGAGTGCTAGGATTACAGGCGTGAGCCACTGCACCTGACCATTGCTTATCTTCTTAATTTGTCCCAGGACTGAAAGTAGTACAGTCATACACCATATGACATCTTGGATCTTGGTAAATGACAGACTGCATGCATATATGATGATGGTCCCATAAGCCTTTTTTTTTTTTTTTTGGAGACAGGGTCTTGCTCTGTTACCTGGGCTAGAGTGCAGTGGCATCAGCATAGCTCACTGCAACCTCCAACTCCTGGGCTCAATCGATCCTCCTGCCTCAGCCTCCCGAGTAGCTGGGACTACAGGCACACCATCACACTCAGCTAGATTTTTTTTCTATTTTTTTTGTAGAGATGGGGTCTTGCTATATTGCTAAGGCTGGTCTCAAACTCTTTCTTGGCCTCAAGTGATCCTCCTGCTTTGGCCTCCCAAAGTGCTGGAATTACAGGTGTGAGCTATTGCACCTGTTCTCATAAGATTAAAATACTGTATTTTTACGATACCTTTTCTATGTGTAGACATATTTAGATACACAAATACTTACCACTGTGTTACAACTGTCTACAGTATTGAGTATAGTCACAAGCTGCACAGGTTGCTAGCCTAGGAGCAATGGCTATACCATGCAGCCCAGGTGTACAGGATATGCCATCTTGGTTTTTGTAAGTACACTCTGGAGTATAGGATGTTCACATGACAATGAAATCATCTAACAACGCATTTCTCAGAACACATCCCTGTTATTAAGCAACATGTGACTGTAACAGGATGCCAAACCATTTTAAAAAGGGAAAAAAGCTGAGGAAGATTATGAAAGGGTCTTGCCCAAAGCCACCTGGCCAAGCTGGTATCTGACCAGGATCAAACACAAGTCTTCAAATGAGGCCTAGCACCCCAGTGAGTGGCCTGGGTGTGCCCGAACAACCAGCTGTTGCCTCTCTTCCCACCGTTTCATTCTCACCTGCCTTTCCCACCTAGGCTTACTGCTCTGCCGGCCAGCAAAGCTCCATTCCCACGCTCTGCACTGTGTGTGTTCTTTAGAACAAGATTTGAGTTGTAGTGTTAGTGCCACTCTCTCACTCTGAACATTACCCTTGAGGCTGAAATTTTACCCAGCTAAGGCATTAACTGTTTTGGTATAATTGGTGTTATTTCCTACTTAAGTAAAAACAAAACTCTTGACAATTAGCATTTGCCAGATAAATATGAAAACTCAGAACCTGTTAGGATTGATTTAGGGCCAGAATATTTTTTTTCAATTCTTGTTGAGTCCCTTTATATAATCTGTATCTCAAGTTTCAGGATTAAGAACTCCAGAAGAGTCCTCATAGATCTTAACATTATGTTCTGTAATTAACATTTTTGCTGAAACCACACACAGGGCTGGGCTGGTTCAAACTTCTAAGGTGGAAAATTTCTCTCTCCAGCCTTTTCCATCTCACAATGAATGTACCTTCAAAGAGCCCACGTCATGAAAGCTCTTTAAAATAAAAGAGCTGCTGGAATTAGGACACATGAACAAGTGCTTTTCTCCTGGCAGGATTCTACCCTGAGAACTACCAGGCTCTCTGGGTTTGCATGAGGCTCTCACACCCCTTGACAGTGCTAAAGGATGATGCTCTCTTTTGTCTGCACTTCCTTTACCAAGTGTAGGCTATAAATTGGTATTGTAGCTGCTAAATGGGTTTCCAACTGCTTACCAACTTTTGAAGGTGAAAAAAATCTCCAAATTTATACAATCTACATTTTCTTCTCTTTAGGGTTCTCATAGGCAAAGGGAATGTCTATAGTAATTGTTTGCATACAACTCATTTATCTTCTCCATAAAAAATTAGACTGAGGTCCTACAACCTTCATTATATTGAAGAGCAAACTGAGATGCAGAGAGGTAAATACCAATGTAAGGTCACACAAGTAGCGAGTTACGGAGCCAGGATTTAGATCCAGGAAGCATGGCTCTGGAGTCCAGCTCCCAACTGCCACAAGACTGCCTCCGTATGAGGAGAAATAGAGGAAAACCAGGATGAACTGGAATGTTCCCATGTGGTAGGCACAGAGCTTAGCACTTCCTAACACCTAAACCTAATAACTGCTCTAGGAGAAAAGTACTAGAATTCTTTTCTTTCTTTTTAATTAAGGGTAATAATCTGAGGCACAGAGAATGAAGGGTCTTGCCACAGCATGGAGCTAGAGCCACAATTATGTCTGAAATGAGTTCAGATGGCAATAAATGGTATTTCTGTCATGTTAGGCTAAGAGACTTACTCTGCTTCTAGGAACCATACCCCCATGACCCAGGGGATTCTGCTAAGCTGTGCCATCACTCATCAGGACAAATAAACTCACCACAACTAAAAAGGGGACCAGGCTTTATGTGCTATCACACTGTTTCCTTACCTGATCTCCCAGTTAGACTAATTAGTCCTTGGCCTTGTTAGGATAATGTAATTTTAATGTAGATGACAGAATTTAAAACGTACACATACCGAGTGTTCCAGAAATGATGTCCATTTTTGGCATGACTCCATCCCGATCGCCAATCCCTCCACCTCGAGCCCCATACAGCCCCACCGCATGGACTTCATCCACGAAGGTGATTGCACCAAACTCATGGGCCACATCACACAGCTCTTCCAGTGGGCACACTGCCCCTGAGGAAAGACCAGAGACTGCTCTCAAGAGCTTGTCATTTCAGAAATTTGTTTTGGTTAGAGTTGGAACAAAACAAACTTACATTCTAAGGTACTGTTTTTAATATTTGAAAGAAAATGAACTTGCCCCAATTTCTAGGTTACCCTGGGGTCTTAGAATCTAGTAAAAGCCAGAGAGAAAAAGCTACATTCATTCAAATCTATACAATCTCCACCAATTACAAAATCCAAGCAGAAAGTAAAAGGAAAATAAAATGCAAATGCAAAACAAAACACCACACAGAGTTTAGGCCTAGTTTTTAATTTCAGGTTTCAGATTAGTTTCTATTTAGACTTACCATCCATTGAGTGGACAGTTTCAAATGCAACAATCTTGGGGACTGAAGGGTCAGATCTTTGCAGCAGTTCTCTGAGATGGCTGACGTCATTGTGACGGAAGATGTACTTTGGCACTCTGCTATTCCGAATCCCTTGGATCATGGAGGCATGGTTCCCAGAATCAGAGTAAATCTCACAGCCTAAAATGACAAAAATGCTATTTATTGCCATCTGCATCAAAGACAAATTATTTCCTAGAGAGAAACTATAGACTTTTTCCTGAAAATGATACCTCGAAAATGCCCAGTAGGAAAAAGACTCTTGTGTGCCAGTTTCTTCCTGGCAAAATAACTAGCGAGACCTTTGAGAAGGCCCAGAGGTGTAGAATAACTGCGCGGCAGGCAATTAATCTGCTTTTAAATCCGGCCACCTCACTCCAAACCCAATCAAGAGTAACTGAAAATGATTAGTTTTTTCCTTTTTTGAGACAGAGTCTCACTTTGTTGCCCAGGCTAGAGTGAGTGCCATGGTGTCAGCCTAGCTCACAGCAACCTCAATCTCCTGGGCTCAAGCAATCCTTCGCCATCAGACCTCCCCGAGTAGCTGCGGACTACGCATGGTACCACATGCCAGCTAATTTTTTCTCCGTATCATACATTAGTTGCCAATTAATTTCTTTCTATTATAGTAGAGACGGGGTCTCGGCTCCTTCTCAGGCCTGGTTTCGAACTCCTGACCTCGAGCCAATCCCCTCAACTCAGTCCTCCCAGAGTGTATGATTACAGCATAGCACACCACATGGCCTGATAGTTTTTTTCCAAAGGATCTTCTTAGAATATGAAGGACATCTGAGGTATGCTTAAGGATAAGACCTCTCAAGTCTGAATCTTCATTGGTATCATGTTCTACTGGAACTCATAATGTACAGTTAGCATGTCATACTCAATCCAAGAGCAAATGTTTCCAGATAGGACTGTTACTTTTTTTTTTCTATATTTTTTTTCTTAATTTATAATTTTTCACTTTTTTTTTCTTTGACTCATATCTGCAGGTGCAGTGTAAGGACTGTTACTTTCAATTGAGAGTTTTTTGGTAAGCTTTCTTTGTTGCCAATATTCTTTTTTTTTTTTTTCACATGGCAGAGAGTACTGCTATATAAACCAATATTCTTATTATTACTAAAAACACCAAAACTCTAGGGCACTCATTCCAGGCCTCCTTACCTGGCATCATCTTGGCCAGGGTGAAGAGGGTCGAGTCATTGGCCACAAAGCATGAGGAAAACAAGAGTGCTGCATCTTTCCCATGAAGGTCAGCCAGCTCCTGCTCCAGGTCCACGTGGAATTTACTAGTTCCTGAAATATTTCTAGTACCGCCTGCCCCAGCACCATGTTGTTTCAAAGTATCCCTGTTTAAAAAAAAAAAAAAAAATTAGCCAAATACGCCAGAAAATAGAAACGAAAGGAAAGAAAGAAAGAAAAGGAAAGGTCATGATTCTAAACGCTCTGTGAATTGTTCCAGGATCCAGGAGACAGAAACTTACATTGATCTAGCAATTCTCTCACTGTGAAACCTGGGACCAGAAATTTCAACTGACTTCATCTTAGACTAGGTGGGAGAAGGTATCCATACTAGAGTAATGATACCTCTAGGGACCATTAAGAACAAGTGTTCATTTGACAGTCAATAAGTACTTAGTATTAGCTGAGTTAATTTCCTAAAGTTTCTTTTCTCTAAGAACATTCTTTCCTTAAATAACATGACATATTAAGGGGCAAAAACCTTAGAGAAAAATCTTGGATGGTGGTCACCTAAACCCTCTGCAAACCAGTCACATAACATTAGGGTACACTGATAGTTATACCTTAGATGGACTCTCTTTAGCAAGCCTCTTGGAGAGTTTCGCAAGCAACTCTCTCAAGCAACCCTGGCCATGGCAATCCTCCTAAAGGACATGAATGATGGGATCTGACATCCTTTTTGACATGGCTTTTTGAAGTAGCTTTTCCTCTAGTGCTGCTAAATCTGTATTTCTCCACCTGCAGCCATGAACAAAGGTGTCTCTGTGCAAGATTGCCTGGTGTTAAAGGTACACTTACTTGTGGAGTGGTAGGAAGTGAACCGACATGTGTAGTAAATAAGCCCATAAGCTTGAACCCTCACACACTAAGGGGTTCCACCAGCTTCTTGCATGTTGGAGTTTCTTTAAAAGTAATCTGTAGATGTTTTCAACAGCTAAGGATAGTACTTTGCTATGGCACATTTTCAGCTGCTGAGTTTTCCCTCCATAAAAGATCCAACCCTTATAAATTATCAATGTATTGCCAAATAACACCAGTGACATTTGAAAGCTGAGGGCTACTTACATAACTGCGCCACACACCCGTGGGTGCCGACTCATTCCTAGGTAGTCATTACTGCACCAGACTGACACCTGCTTTTTGGTGATGAGGGAGTCTGAATAGTCATCTGCCATGGGGAAGATGTGCGCCCTCCGGTTTACAGTTTTAAAGACTCGATAGGTGTGGTCATTTTTTTTCTCGTCAATCTTCTTCTCAAAGAAACGATCATACTGAAAAGTGGAAACAGCTAAAAACCAAACAAAAGATAGTACAGTCTGAAGGTTAAGAAGCACATTTGCGTTTCGGTGAAAGACAGACTTGAGTTCAAGTTCCTGCTTGAGTAGTAGGGAGATTCTAGGCAAGCTACTTAACGTCCTCACCTAGAAAGGAGTAATTGAGACTGTGCACAACAAGTGTTGGGCAGCGAGCAGTGCAAGGATGGTAGGTATTAAAGACAGAAGGCAGGCTACCAACAGCATCTGTAGTTACTACACCTAATCACTCAAGCAAGGGACGCAACTTTCAATCCTCAACTCACCATGCAATTTTATGTTTAATCTGATGTATGTTTAAGTTATATACTCCTATATCAGGAAAATAACAATGAGACTTACATTTTGGCAAGTTATCTTGAAGAAGATGAGACACTCTTTCTGGTCTTTGTTTTCGCATGATATCCTGGAAATTCTTCGGCAATTTACTTGTATCCCCTCCGTCAGTCTCCATGCTAATCACACTGGGGTTCACTGAGGTTTGGGCAACCTCTGTAGCAAAAGCAACAAGAGGCAAATGGGACCGACATTCTATTCTAAGCTTACAATACCCTCCAGACATATTGTCAAAAATGTTTTACTGCCTAGTTCATAAAAAAAGCCAATCATAATCAAAATTAGTTGTAACTGAGTGTATGAAGCATCTCTTCTTCTATTTTAGTTATTGTAATGACCAATTCTTGGTGTTATTTTCAGAGCTACCAGCCAGCTTTAACGAACATGAAAGTTCAAAGCTTTCTAGCTGGTTGACGTGCCTTTCCTACTCTATCCCTAACCCTTCTGAATCTGAATTTCAATTTTCTTCACAGAAACCAATTTTGGCCATATGCATAATTTCTGCTGGTGGGGCTTTTTGGGGGCTTTGGGTACTCTGTGGATATAGCCACAGCTGGAATTAAGGTTGCCACTCAATGACCATCAGTAAGACATATAGCTTGGGAGTCCTAGGACCAGCACTTACTGCAGTAACACCAGTTTTCTACCTTTTATCCCAACAAATGGTGCGAAAGACCCAAGGGACAAAGGGAGGTTGGTAGCAGCTCAAGACTGCAGGTTATTTTCAGAAATTAAGCATGTTACTATAAAAGCTGGTCACATCCTACACACTCACCACAAAGAAAGTCCCACATTTTGCAATACAGTCCTTTGACTATCTTGAGGACCTTCCTCTTTGGCCCTAAAAGAGGAATGTGTTTCCATAAATATTGCCCTAATAATAGTTCATACACAAATCTGAAGGTCCAAAAGAGCCAAAAAGACCTCTTCACTCTTCCTAAGGGTCCGTGTTTCATCTTACCTTTCCTCACAGCATGCATTTCCTGCACATCTTCCTGAAGCTCGAGACTGGCTTTGCAGAAGACACTGCTGCCCCTCTGGCTCATCTGTGCTGCCAGGAAAGGGCATTTGCTTGCAGTGCCCTGGCTCGTGGCAGGCAAGGGGTGTCCAGACGGAAGCTGTGTGCCATCTGGAGTCTGCTGGGATCCGTCAGGAGCCTGCTGGACCTTGGCTTTGGCAGTTTTGTCCTCTGAAGGAGGAAATGGAAAAGTGAAGCATCAGATCTGGCTGCACAGTATACAAGAAAACCACTTATTTCTTTCTCTTATAGCCTCAAAGATAAACTTTATACTTATTCTACCCCACCATCAAGACACAAGCTTATTTTTATTAGGTTCTGCTAATCTATTTTCTCATCTGTCTCACTGGAAACAAAGCTCCTATGAAAAGTTAATTGGCACATTCAGTTACCTCTCAAACCCATAGCATTTCTCCTTACAAACCAAAAAAAGTACTGTTTTCTAGTTATAGACAACCCACAGTCCTCAGTTGGACCACTTCCAGTACATTCTACCCCAAGTACACTCTGTTTATTTCATGAGAGGTCATATTCTCTAAGGTAATTGGAAGTAGTCATACAAATTTTTACTCTAATATTTACAAAAAAATTTTTTTTATTCAACCTGTAGGAAAAGAATCTGCTAATATTTTCTTTTCACCCGATAACAGTGTCATTATAAAAATCTGCTAATATTTTCTAAACAGATCATTGACAAAGAAGCTTGCTATTGCTTAACATAAAAACTACTGGTTTTGGCCAGGCGTGGTGGCTCACGCCTGTAATCCTAGCACTCTGGGAGGCTGAGGCAGGAGGATTGCTCAAAGTCAGGAGATCGAAACCAGCCTGAGCGAGACCCCGTCTCTACTAAAAATAGAAAGAAATTGACCAACTAAAAATATTATATACAAAAAATTAGCCGGGCACGTGGCACATGCCTGTAGTCCCAGCTACTCGGGAGGCTGAGGCAGCAGGACTGCTTGAACCCAGGAGTTTGAGGTTGCTGTGAACTAGGCTGATGCCACGGCACTCACTCTAGCCTGGGCAACAAAGTGAGACTGTGTCTCAAAAAAAACAAAAAACAAAACCAAAAAAACTACTGGTTTTCTTTTAAACAAAAGAAATGAGACTAAAACTTAGGTCTTTAGGTTACTGTCTAATATAGTTCAAATTATTAGTATGCTAAGAAAAAAACCAAGGTGTATCACAATCGCATACCTCATCTACTTTCTCATCTAATTCATCAAAGAAATCTGCTGACTTAACACAGTTGGCTGGTAATTATGCTTCTTCTAGTTACAATGGCTTCCCTCTCCCCTTGAGCAAATTCATTCACTTTCCTTCTAGAAAAGTCTTTCTTCATTCTGGAATACTCCCGTGAGTCACTGGCTAGCCTTTCCTATAACTTGAGTAAGGTGTCTCAATACAGTTTTCATTAAAATCTTCTATAAAGGAAAGCCAAAAAAATTATTTTTAAGTTAATTTCATTCATTACAAAAGTAATATATATTCATTATAGAAGGTCTGGAAAAAAAATGAGCCCTATCGTTCAAACATACGCTTTATAAACATTTTGGTAAAAAAGACATAATTCCTGAAAATAAACCCTACAAAGGATTAAATCCTTTCTACTTAAAGAAAAAAATATTCCTTTTTTATAAGCCCACACCCAGAGCACACACCTAAAAGAAGTCTGTGAAGTAAAATGTTCTATAGGATTAAGTGGAATCTGAATAGCCTCATTATCTCTTAGCAGAACCGGACCAAAACTAAATTCAACTTTTGTGTCTTTATTAAAAACAAAAACAAAACTTTTACATACAAAATAAAGATATATGTATTTAAAAAATCACTAACAAAAACTGTATTTCACTTACATAAGGTACTCACAGTCGTTAAATTCATAGAGACAGAAAGCAGAATGGTGGTGGTCAGGCACTGGGGGGATGAAACAGGGAGGTAGCATTTCATGGGTAGAGTTTTAGTTTGGGAAGATGAAAAAAGTTCTGGAGATGATGGCAGTGATGGCTGTACAACAGTATGAATGTACTTACTAGCACTGAACTATATATTTAAAAATGGCTAAAATGGTAAATTTTATGTTATATGCGTTTTACCACAATAAGAACAAATTTTTGTAAAGAAAAGAAAATCACTACTTTAAAAGCCAAAGGCCAATATATAATGAGAGAAAGGTTGGAACAGAACATTCCAATTAAGGCACTGAAGAAACACTAAAACCACAACAGACACTGACATGGAACCCAGAAACTTGTAATGTGGAACACTGGCCACTTACTTCACCTTTAAAGATGTGAAAACTAAAAGTGCCTACACCTCGTGGGGTTAGGGTGACAGTTACAGGAGATAATTCATGCACAAAGCTGAGCCTGGCACAGAGCAACCTGTCTGTTAGTGTCCACGATTGTGGACTGGAACTGCTTATAATCCAGTAATGAATGCAGACACCCCACCCGCTCCTTCATTGCCAATGACACTTACTTTCATTGGCTGGAGAGGTTTCTTTGATCTGCTGGCAGTGTACTGTTGAAGTGGACAGTGCCCGAGGGGCCGTCTTGGCCCCAACTTCCATCATCTTGGGGCAGTTTTGGGCATAGAACAACAGAGATTTGCCTGCCTTTTGCAGAAAGGCCTGGGATACCCGGGATAAGAATGGGCAGCGGCGAACAACAGTCTCCATGTCTGGGAAGTACACTGGCTCCTGTGGAAAGACTGACGATGAGTGACACCAATACTTGTTAATAATCAAGCAAATACCACTGCAAGGTCACTGGGTTCAGGTGTCACCTACAGTTTATACCAAGGGTCCCCTGGGATACTAACATGTCTCACTCAAAAATGCCTAAAGACAGCACTAAGGTAGGACTCAACTAAAGAGTGGTGACCACACTCTACCCAAGTCACCAACTTCTTCATTTCCCAGTTCTATATAAAAGCATCTGCAAAGCAACTTCACCAAATGAAGTAAATACTGACAACAAATAACCAAGGGGGTGGAAAGATGAGGGACAGGTCAAGAACAGGTTTTGGAAGCCAGAAGCTCCTTAGGGAGATGTACAGTGCAGATAAGACACCTTGGCACACACCCAGGTGGAGAAGTGAGGCCAGGGAAGAAGCCACTGTCATCCATTCAGGCAGAGAGGTCTCTCAAAGATCCGAACCTTCTCCTGGTTCCCACACCCCGAAACTGGAGGAAGGCATCCAGTAGGGCCCCAGTCCAGGATTTCCCCGAGGTCATGCCCCCGCAGCTGGGAGAGCTGGGTATAACAGGAAAAGGAGCAACATAAAGGTAAGAATGTGAGAAGCGCCTTGGGGCCAACTGGGGAGCCGTGGGGCTATAATATCGACCGCACTGGGTCTGGTGAAAGGAGGCAGACTTCAGGGAGTGGGGTCAGAGGTGACCCGGGGTCGAGGGCTCGAGAGCGGATGGGAATGGAATTCTAAAGCGGCAGATTAAACGTGGACTACCTAGAGGGGGCCGAATGGGGGAAACTCAGGCGACTGAATAGGCAAAAGGTCTAGAAGCTAAACGTTGACCCCCAAGGCGGCGGGTGACCGGGACAGTGGGGGAGGGGGTCTCAACAGCAGGGGGAGCGGCCGCCGGGCTGGCGGGACTCGCGGGAGCTTCCCCGGGCCGGCGCCGCACTCGGAGCGCGGTCCCTCACCTGCGCCGGGAACTCTGCGGAGGCGGACTCAAGGGAGACGGCGACGGGGCGCACTCAAGCTGAGAAGTCCAGACGAACGGTTGCCCTTGTCCGCGAGAAACCTCAGGCCGCAGCCGCCGGCGCCCTAATATACAGCGGGAGCGATCGCTGCGCATGCGCCGCCGTAGGCGCGGCCCGCTTCCACGCAGGCGCGCTGCGGCGAGCTCCGGGCTCCCGGCTCCGCGCCCTGGGAGTGGGGGGCGGGGCGGCGAGGTTCTCGTCTCCTGCGCTCCGCGGGTGCGGGTGGGGCCCCGATTTCCCAAGCTCGCCTGCTGGGAGTAGGAGGGTCGAGGCGGTGGGCGGACGAAGTCTCGTTTCTGGAGCTCATCCTGCACCTCATTGTCACCTCTCCACCAACTGCCCTATGCTTCGGAACCAACTCCTCAGTTGCGGGGCATAAAAGGGCAAGGTCGGAGGCGAAGTGTCATTAGGGCCAACTAGGAGGTAACAGCACTGTTAAAATGGGTGTCTTGAAGATGAAGGAAGGAGAGATTCACGGGGTTCCGAGCCAGGGTCTTAATCAGGATCCGCCCCACCTGGGGCTTGTTTTAGATGCTGTGAAGGAGGGATTCCGGGAGGAGGTGGGACTAGATCACCCAAAGATGGAGTGGTCCTGGTGGGATGCGCGAGAGACTGGAGGAGGACCTGGGAGAGGGGGACCTGGGAAAGAGGAGGATGGAGCAGAAGCGGAAAGAGACTCTGCTGAGGAACTTTCTGGTCTGAGATGGTACAGAGAGGGGACCCATCCATCAGAGAGAGAGGGGAGGCACAGAGCCTGACAATAGTGTTTGAAACATATTAGCTACAATTTTTATTTTCCATCCCGAGTTGTCCAATGCTGCTCCTTGCTGGCCACCCTGGGCACCCGCTGGGTAGCTTAGGACTCCATCCCAGAGTTCAGAGTCGGGCCAAGCCTTCCTTGAGTCTCCCTGAAACCACACCTGCAGTGTAGGCTTGGCAAACCCCTCTCCGGAACGACGCCAGTCTGGCCTCCTTGCTCCACACCCTTCCCAGCTTGGCCCAGCCTGGGTTGGGCCTGTGCCAGGTTCAGAGCTACCGTCCTCCACTCTTGGGGAAAGGACTATTCAGGTTGTTTCTTCCCCAGCTGGGCATTAATAAGAGGGACAAAGTCCAGAACAACGGTGACCAAGGTGTGTCCGGGTATTTCCCAATTCCCTCCTTCTGAGCGTCCAGCCAGCTACAAGGCAGGCAGATGAGGCACCTGGGTCCAGAGTGACACTGGGATGAGTGGCAGATTAGGGCTGTGGTCTGGGAGTCCAAGACTCAGTTCTGCCTCATCCTGCTGAGGGGTCCTGGGCAGTGACCATCAGCCAGAGAGGAGGAGAAAGAAAAAAAGGTCAGCACTTGGACTCAGACCTAAATGCAGCTAGGAATGGGAACAGGATAAGGATGGTGTTGAGTGCTTTGCTTATCTCTGGGCCTCACTTTCCTTATTTGGGCACTCGGATAATAATCCCCATTCTACCTGCCTCACGGGCATTTTTGGGTGATCAGAGACAAAGCAGAGCTGGACATGGCTTCCAAACCCAGCTCTGCATCTTGCTTGGCTGTGGCCTTGGGTAGACCATGAGCTTGCTGAGGCAGTTTTGTCATTTGTAAAACTCTCCAAGCCCTGCTACTTGTGGTTGGCAGAAGGGTCAGGTGAAGTCATAGATTTCAGAGGATTATTGTTTAAACTAATGTCTCCAGCCTTCTGGGAGTTTCCTGTTTAATAGCGAGAAAGGTTGGGAAACAAGACAGACTCATATGGAAAGTGCAATAAAATGTTGTAAATAATTCCGGATGGAGGAGGCAGCTATTACTGAAACAAGCACTGAAGGAGGATCCTAACCACGAAGAAAGGTTTCCAGAGGAGAAACTGGTGCTTTCTGGAAGGATGGATCCACAGGGGACTGGGAGATTGTTGGGTGAAACCTTGTGTGGGAAAGACCCAGCCCTGTTGGAGTGGGGATGAGGGATCAGTGTGAGACAGCCGGAATAGCTGGGTTGTAGGAATATAGCCAGGACCTGAGGCCAGGAGGTCAGACCAGAAAGGCTTTAAATAAACCACAGGGCTTCCCAGTGTCAAGGCCCCCAAACCACCATTAGGGTGCTGGTCAAAATGCACATTCCTGGGCCATGCTTCTTTGATTCTGATGAATCTGCATCTAACCAGACCACCCTTCTGGTGATGTGTTTGTGTGGGGTATCCTGGGGCCACAATTTTAGGATATGCTGCCTGGGTGGTTCAATTTTTGAGACCTTGGCTCTGACACTTTCTGACTCTGAAATCTTGAGCAAATCACCCCATTGCTCTAAGCCTTAGTATTTGCATCTGTGAAGTGGACTTTATCCCACCTGCCTCGGTGGTGAGTTGGTGAGTTGGGGAGGCCCGATTCTAGTCTGGTTGTGATCCCTCCCCTGGGCTGCTGCTTCCCCTCTCTCTGTCCTCTCCCTCCTCCTTTTTCCCCTCTCCCTCTTCCCTTCCTTTTCCTTCCCCTTCTTCTATTTTTTATTTATTTATTTTGAGACAGAGTCTTGCTTTGTTGCCCAGGCTAGGGCTCAAGCAATCCTTGTCTTCTGCCTCAGCCTCTTGAGTAGCTGGGACTACAGGCATGCACCACCATGCCCAGCTAATTTCTTTCTTTATATATTAGTTGGCCAATGAATTTCTTTTTATTTATAGTAGAGATGGGGGTCTCGCTCTTGCTCAGGCTGGTTTCAAACTCCTGACCTTGAGCAATCCGCCCACCTCAGCCTCTCAGAGTGCTAGGATTACAGGCGTGAGCCACTGTGCCTGGCCTCTTCTCCTTCTTCTTTTCCCTCCCTTTCCCTTCCTTACTTCCTTTCCCTCCCTCTTTTGCCCCTCCCTCTTTCCTCAGAGCCACAGAACAAATTCATCTTATCTCTTGCCCTGGCCCTGAGCAGGGGAGCCCAAAGCACTGGAGTTCAGGCAAGGTCAGGCCCCATCCTGGGGATGACGCTGGGGCCTCTTTCCCTCCTACCCCATCTGCGTCACCATCACCGCCAGGGGCTGCTGCACATAGCACCCGCCCAGCAGCCAAGGCTGAAGGAAAATGTCAACCCCAGCGTTAGAATTCAACCTCTGTATTCTGGGCCCCAGGAGCTATTTTTAGTAGTGCCCCTCCATGATGGTCAAGTAGCTCAGCCTGCTCAGACAGCAAACTTCCGGCTGTCCTCTGGGCCTCAGTTTCCACCTCTGCCAGCCAAGCAAGAAATCCTGCCAGCGTTCTCAAGGAGACCCAGGGGAACATGGGACAGCTTAGGAGATGGACAAAACCTCAGACCTGTGCTGCTGATGTTCACTGTGGCCGTGGGCCAACAGTGCTCCTTGGGGTGTCAGTGCCCTTCTTGGGGTGTCAGTGGTAGATATGGGGCTAGCGTCATAGAGTAGCTAGAGGTTCTGGAAACAGGTCAGCTCTACCCTGGAGGGTTGGAGGTGTGAGCACCAGGGTTTACAGTGGTAGGAACCATCATGTGAAATGGGATTTGGGGATTGGGCAGGGCAGTAGGGCTCTGAGGTCCCCAGCACCCACCTTGTCCTGGTCCTGCCTTTGGAACCCCCTGAGGCTCTGGTCCATGGAGGACAGCCTGGGAGGGGCAGTGCAGGCCTGGGCCTGGGTTTGTGGAGCCAGCTGCAGGGGAGGGTTGGCTCTGGTTGGGGAGGGGAGTTAGAGGGGCTGGAGAGGAGCAAAGCTGAGATGCCTCAGGAGGCAGGTCTGGAGTGGGCTTTGCAGGGAACAGCAGCTC